GTATTGGAGTCCAATTAGTATTTTATCACCCTGGCCGGACTTCAGTAAGAATTGTGTTGAATTGGTTCTTCAAGAATACCTCACATCGTGATGCTTCCTCAGTAATTTTCCATTCACCATCCTCACTCTACCTCTTCACTGTCAATAACCACTCATCCTTGCCGTATTCAGTATCGAGGCTGATCTTTCTTCTGTGAACAGATATCAACATAGTGGTCCCTATATTTACCTTGATGGTCTTTCCTTTAGTAAAATCTACCTTATATTCCTTCATAAGTGTCATATGTAATGTTTTGTTTAAGAGTATATGACTAAGAGAAATGAATACAGTTGTGCTGCAATATCCTTGGTGGACTGGTTCCAAAACACCAGCCCCCAACCAAAATTTAAAGAAACTCAAGTCACATATAGAATGGTATAACATTTCCAACAACCTATGCAATCTTGAATAAATAATAGTATCTAATACAATGCAAATGTTATATAAATAGTTATCCTACATTGTTTGGAGGATAATCAGAAATAGTCTATGCCTGTTCAGTATAGATGCATCCTTTTTTTTCCAAATATTTTCGATCTTTGATTGGTCACCCATGGATGTAGAACTCACCAATATGGGTTTCTTTAGGGAGAAATCTAGGTAGAGAATTTCTTAGTTATAGGTACATGGACCATTATATTTACTACCATTATCAAGTTATTTTCCAAATTTTTACACTTCTACCATATATGTAGCAAATAACATCTGCCTACACACTAGCCAAACAGTGTGATAACATGGAACATGATGACATGGAACTTTGTAATACTAGCAGTTCTTTTTATTTTTTATTTTTGATACAGGGTCTTGGTATGTAGTTTGGACTTGTAGTGATCTTCCTGTCTCTGCCCCCCTAGTGCTGGGATTACAGGTGTGCTCCACCAAACCTGGTTCCAGGATGGGTATGGCTCCCCCATTCTGGGCTGGCATGGCATGTGATACCTGGGATTGAACTCAGGACCTTGTGCTTGCCAGGCAGGCACTTATGCTCACAAGCTATCTCACTAGCTCAATACTAGCAAATTTGAGGGTAAAATGGTAGCTTCTTTTTTCCTCCAGTTAATAGAGATGATCAATTTTTTCTTCAACTTTCTGCAAGTTTTTCTATAGTCACTCAAATTTAACCTTTAAGAGAATGACATTAGTAATTATCTGGAGAATGAAGTATAAAAAATGATAAAGAATATTGTGACAGTTAATCATGGTAATGTCAACTTGACTGGAATGTGAAACTCCTAGTAGATTAATAAAACACATTTTTGGATGTGTCTGTGGGGTGTTTCTAGAGATCATGTCGTTTGCATGTAAGTCACCAACCCAAGGTCAGGGGGAAGACTCATCCCTAGTGTGGGTGGCACCATTCCATTGGGATGTAGCTTGGATGGAATGAAAAGGAGGAAGCTGGCCTAAGCTTGATGAGCTCCTTTTTGCTTGAGCTGGTGCAGCTTTTTTTTTTTTTTTTTTTAAGTGTCCTTGTGTTCAACTTTTATTTTTATTTTTTCCATAATTTTATTGAGAAACAAATAGCAATGAGACAGTTTCAACCCAAAACACATTGCATACATTCTTCCTAGTGGTTAATTGCTGTACAAGATGTGGACTTGATATCCTATTTACAAACACCATTAGAACAAATCCCTCTATTCATTAAGAGAATGTAACTATATAACTATCCTTACCACTTTGAATACACAGATACAAAATGGTGCAGCTTTTGCTAGTGCTATCACTATGATTATTAGACTGCAGTTTCTTCAGTCTTTCAATACAGATTGACACCAGGTACTCCCCTAAGAGCTTCCAGGCCTTCAGTCTCAGACTGGTGGTGCATTCTTGACCTCCCATGTTCCGTAGCTTATACCTTCTTCAACTGAGTAGCTGTTAGGCCCTCTGCCTCTCCAACATGCAGCCAGCTATGAACTCTTGTGCCTTTGATCCTGTGAGGCTTTCTAGTAAATCTCCACATATATGATTTTTGGTTTTTGTTTGCTTCAACTCTACTTTACCCCTATACACTGGCACACTGGCATAAGGTTATGTTTTCATACTTATTGACTCATTGGAGTGTATTGTCTTCTTTGTTGGGTCATCAGAACAAGAGGCAGTGTATGCTGCTGCTAGATTTAAAAATCAAACACATATGAAATGTACTTTAAAATGTAGAGCTTACATGAAGTCAGTATGGTAATACTATTTTCATAGATGCATTACTATTGTAACGCATTTGTATGAGAAAAAAAATTAGAGTGCTCAACCTAAACTTGAAAATAATTAGTTCCTGTTCATTTATATTTAGTATTTTTTATATGCCAAGGATATGAAAAAGAAAACAATACTCTTTGACATCAGGGAACTGGTTTGACACTTTACATCTACGCTCAGTGTGTTTTACAAACTGGCCTGACACTCAAAGCTAGGCTATGTTGTTCTGATGGATAGTGTCTTACAGAACTCCACTATCAGACAAGGTCATTCTGTGACCATGATAAAATGAGACAAAACAATGCCACTTTATAGTTTTGTCTAAGCACATACAACAAAAAGGTCAATGTGCAAAGAACAAAATACCAATGTTAAATAGATTCATGGGAAGCCATTATGGAGCATGCTCAGTTTGTAACTAAACTGCTGCAGTTTGTAGGCTCCAGCAGAAAGGCCAGACTAGAGTGGAGGCACTCTTGTTTATTGCTGTGTATTCAATTTTAACTCTGAAACAGGCTGGTTAAAACAAAATAAAACAAATCAGATCAAAAGAAACAAAAGAGAGGAGATTCACTGTCATCAATTAGAGGGGGCCTAGCTTATGAGCTGGTATGCTAAGAAAGTTCCTTGTTTTTTAACCCTATAAGGAGAGTAAGTGAAATAACTAATTGATTTTCATTAATTTGCTTTCCTCAGCTCTTTTCTTTCTATAAAGCCACACTCTTCTGCTCAGCTCATCAGAACACTTAATGTATAGAATGAGATGTTGTCTTATCTGAAGTTACAAATACAAACCCATTAGATCTTTAAACTAGATTTGTTGCAGTTTTGTCTTTTGACAACTCCCCCTCACAAACACATAGGAATGACTGCTTTGTTGTCAGTTATAGTTACAGTCTTGCTCTCTAGCCTGCCATGTTCCTGAATGAGGTTTATGAAGACACTGCATCATTGGACTGTCTCTACTTCCAGACAGGACATAATGCAGAGCAATTCTCTCCACCCTGTTCTGTGGGGTCTTCTCTAAATCACCTAAGCACAGGCCAATCTTTCAAGAGATTTCTTAACACCCCCATACTGAGTGACTGGCTCTTCAGAGTACATGTTTTCATTTTCTGTAACAAAACCAACCTGATCATTTCAACTACAGGTATTTCTCTTAATGGTTTTTGGCTGGATGACATCAACAGTTCTAAGAGTTTTAGATATGTTATGCCATTTAACCCTGAAAAATAGTACTATTACATTGATATTATTATTAAAATATTACTATTATCTTCTTTCTAAGACAGAGAAGCAAAGAAAGTTAAATATCATCTCCAGTAGTTTATAGCTAGCAAATGACAATACAATTTGTGCCTGCCATTAAGACACAAGCAACTACTTCTGCTTCTCCTGACCTTGCTGATTTTTTTGATATTTCCCTAGAATTAGGTGTTGAGGACAGAGACTGCTGCTGAGTTCAGCATTATAAAGCAAACACACAAACAAACAAAAACACACAAACAAAATTTAAAAAAATTTCCAAACAAAAAATGCTATAGATGAAGATTATATTTGAGGCCGAGAAGCCTTTTAGAATGAAGAGTCACTTTTTTTCTGAATCTCTGTGAGGCTTTCACCGGAGCACCCTGGGGTTGTTTCTTATACTAAAATCAGTATTGCATGTTTACTAAAGGCCTGGCCTATTTCCATATAGTGAGAACATCTATACTTTGAGGAAACAGTTCAAAGGAAAATATGACTTTAAAAGAAGAAAAGCACCCTGATGTGTGGGAAACTGTTAGCTCACAGCTGGCCTTGGGTACACACAACAAATCCTTCAGCATGTCTTCATTTTAGGTCCTTCATTATGTATGTCTGTTTCTCTACCTCCACGCCCTTGACCCTGCTAGTCACCACTTTATCTGAACGCCCAGCCTACTGAAATTCCAAGCATTTTTCGTCCGTTTCCCCCTATTTGTGCCTTGCAATTTACTGAGTTCTCAGTCAGCTTGTAGAACAGGTGCGGCAACATCTTTTTGTCATTTGTGGAAAGGATGGCGAAACACCTTGGACTGCGAGGTTACTAAGGACCGGGCTTCGCCAGGCACATTCTGATTTTTGGTGGAACCCTCCGCTACCCTAAGGTGAGCACTCATTAGCTGAACACCCGGCAGGCGCCTAGTACATATGTGCGCTGTGCACCCCTCCGCAGCGTCCAGGGTGCTCCCGCCTAGGGTGCTCTCGCTGTAGCCAGTACCCACCCTAGAACTACACTTCCCAGAGGTCAACGCACAGAGGGCTCCCGAGATGCGCAAGGGATTTTACATTCCTGCGCTGCTAAAGGAGCGCAGAGCCAGGTTCTGCATTTCAGGCTCTCCAACTCCAACTCCATCCAGACTACTAACTTTTTGACGGGTCCCTCTCGCATCCCCAAGCACTACCTCAACCTGAGGCGGAGCTGGGACAGAAAGCCACAGCAGACCGCCGGAAGGGCTGAGAAGCCGAACGGACGGGAAGCACAGCCAATCAGGCTCCAGAGACCGCCCGGAAGGGGCGGTGCCTGGCGTGTTAGGGACCCGGTTGTACCGGGATTGGCGCGTCTGAGGCGGCTCCGCGGTGGCGGGAGATTTCGGATGTGTTGGCCCCGGCTCCGGCTGCGGCGGTTGGACTGGGCTGGGCTGGGCTGAGCTGAGCTGAGGGTGCTGCTGGCTAAACTGGGAAGGAGAACCCCGGAGGCTCGGCCGGTTCCCTGATTGTGGCGTGCTGAGCTGTGGCCTTCTGTCCGACCCCCGACCTGCGGAGACAGATGGACAGGCACCGTCCGCGCCTGCACCTTCCGGCCCACGGCTGCGCTGCCGCGGCCCCTTATCCCTCCTCCGCCTCGCTGCGTAGCTGCCGGGAAAGCAAGATGCCGCGCAGGAAGGGTCCCCAGCACCCTCCGCCGACCTGCGGCAGCCTGGAGGAACCTGGGGAGAAGCGCCCCAAGTTTGTAAGTGTCGCCCTGGGGTGGGGTGGGGCGGTTCCGTCGGGCTGAGGGGCTTTGGCTCGGGTCCGGGATGCCTCCAGCCTACTAAGCTCTGACTTGGTTGACAGCCGAGGGGGCATAAACTGGGAGGGGTACTACAGTTTATTCTAGGTATCTAGAGCCGCAAGTCTTCTTAGGTAGACTACGACAGGGTCAAGTTCTCTTTCGATCTTGTGACCAATGCTCTGATCTTCGTGTTGCCTCACCTTTCTGAAGGCCGAAGGGGAAAGCAGTTCACATGTATTTGTGTTGACGTCATTTAGGTGGACACTGAGTTTTGTTTCCTTAGTCATCTTTTCCCCCTACCCCTTAGTGTAAGAGGGTATAGACATAAAGTGAGCTTTTAGGTAACAGTATTTATTTACTGTCTCCTTTTTTTGGTATTTCTTTTTTTTTTTATTAATATTTTAATCCACTAAGAATGTTTAAGGTAGGTACACTTTCTTTTTTTTCCAAGTTGAGACAGCTCTTTTTAAAACTTGGCGGGGCATGTGGTCATGCCTAAAGAATGTTTGCTTAGTTTGGAAAGAAGTCTTAAGTATTTGAAACTCGTTATTCTGAATTGCTGATGGCCGCAAGAATAGTGGTATTTTGTACCGTTAGGGACAAATCTGTACTCTACTTGATTGTTACCTTTATAGGCTTGAAGGATGATAAGGAGAGAGTTAATTTGACAGTGAAAGATTCTGCCCAATATGAGACCAATTCATTAGGAGGAATTTTTCTTTTAGTATTAGCTTCGGGCTAAAAGCTTATTTTATTTTGCCGTGAGTCTGTCAGTCCAGAATCCTGGAGATGTGATTTTCCAAGGCAATATTTATATTCAGTTTTACTGAAGGTATGCCAGAATATTTGGGATCCAGTCCTTTTCATTTCTTTGGTAGATCATATTGATCTTTCTAACATGATGCTGAGTTTTTGTAAAGATGTTATCTAAAGACAATATTAAAATTTTTTTAAAAAATATTTCATTTGTTTATTTATTTGGTATAGGGTCTAGTATAGTGATCCCCCTTGTCTCAGCCTACCCAGCGCTTTGGGATTACAGGTGTGTTCCTCTACTTCTGGTGACAGTGGCCAGCAAGGTGTGCCCGGGTTTTGGGGCCGGCTTCCATGCATTACTGGGTTTCGAACTCAAGTCCGTGTACTTGCTAGGCAGGTGCTTAGACCTCCAACCTATCTCTCCAGCCCAAAAGACAATATTTTAAGCTCAAAAACTAATAGGCACATTTAAAATACTATTTGTGGGCCGGGGAGATAGTGTCTGAGCTGCGTTGTGAGACCATGTACCAAATACATAAATTAAAAACAAATAATATTTGTGGGGTTTGACTTGAATGATGATTTCATAATTTACTTGGAAGTAATTTGGACTCTGTTATCTTTGGAGTTAATGTGGTAATTTCTTTACATATAGTCTTCTGGTCCACTAATTCTATCCTCAGATATGTCTAATCTGCTGTTCAACTTGTTCTAAATATCTGATTTTAGTAATTATTTTTTGTTTTGACAAGTTTTACTTGCTCATTTTTCAGATCTTCCGGGTATCTTGATACTCTCTTGTTTTTATTTCTTTAGATATTTCCTACTTGGTGTTGTTTATTTAACAGTTTTGGTGTGTGCAGTTTTCGGATGGTCTATATTGACTTGGCTTGCTCTTTTTGCTTGTTGATCCTTGTAACTTCATTGTTTTATAGTAATCTGTAGGGGTGCCAGGAGGCTGGCCTACTTCCTCTTTCTTCCCTCTTCCCCTCCTTGCCCCCTCCCTCCCTCCCTCCCTCGTCCCCCACCTTTCTCTCTCTCTGTTTCTGAGTTTCTCTCTGTGTGTTTCTCTCTCTGTTTCTGTGTTTCACTCTCTCTCTCTGTCTCTCTCCTTGTTGTCTCTTACTCTCTCTCTCTCAGGGACTCTGTCAAGCTCTCTGTCATTGAAGTATATATACCCCCTTCCTCTTTTTCCCCTGCTCCTCCTTCTGTGTCTGTGTGTCTGCCTTTCTCTCTCTCTCCCTCTCTGTCTCTGTTTCTCTGTCTCCCAGGGCCTTACACATGCTAAGTAAGCTCTTTGTCTTTGAGCTATACCCCCCAGCCTCCTTAAATGCTAGCTATACTATAGAGATATTTTGAATGTTTCCCTCAGGAACCTGAGCATACAGGATTGGCAGCCTTATCTCTCTGATAAGTTGGAATTCTTAAAGAGAGGTTGCAGGTCCAGGTTCAGCTCACAGAAGTAGAGACAATTGAGAGCTTCCATCAACGTTGCAATTAGACAGCATTTATAGGAAAACAAAACTGAGGCATAGAAAACAATTTTATGGGCTACACTGTATTCAGACAACATCAATTATAGTAACTTGTATTATATTGTATTATATTAATTAGTATAGAAATTATTGGGCCTTCTGTGACCAGCCAAACTAAGTTACTATGATTAATCTATGTTGGTTTGGCCTGATAGACACAGTGCAGGTGCTTGATCCAAGTCCATGATTTCCTGTACTTTTTTTTTTTTTCCTGTACTTTTATATTATTAACCTTGTTACCCTATGAAGAGATCAAGTTAGGCAGAGATTTGGTTACCTAAGGTGACCTTACCTAAGGTCACATTGCTTTGATCCTTAATCACCATCTGATATTACTCTTTCATGAATATTGGGAGTATTTATTTATTTATTTATGTATTTTTTTGAGACAGGGTCTTGCTATGTACCCTATGCTGACCTCCAATTAGCAGTGATCCTCCTGCCTCAGCCTCCCAAGCACTAGCCCTGGGATCATAGGCTTGTACTACCTCACTTTTTTTTTTTTTTTAAAGAGGGCCTGTGTAGTTCAGGCTAGCTTTGAAGTCATGATGTCACCTAGGCAGGCCTCAAACTCTTGCCAATCATCTTGCTCAGCTTTATGAGTTCTGGAATTGCAGGTGTGCCACCACCAAGCCTGGGAGCCTGTTGGGAGTTTTATTCCTTAGCATTTCTTTTCTCTTCCAAGAACCATTAGCAATTTGTAAGGGCTTTAATGAATATAGGATTAGTGATTCCCTGGCTATAGGCAGGTTGTGAGGTGAGAGGAGATATAAGGTTTCAAAACTTCTGTTATTTATTGTAGTGGACATTTTGAGTTGAAATCAGAGTAGGCTTCAGGAGATTCTTGCACCCTTGCCTCACTGCCTTGACTTCATTTTGAGGCAGGTGTAGTAGGTGGAGACATTCCAAAAGATACACTCCTTAATTCTTGAAACTTTGAATGTTACCTTATATGGTAAAGATTAAATGAAAGATACTTTGTTACCTTATATGGTAAAGATTAAATGAAAGATATAAAACTGGACAAATTATCCTGGCCCATAAAGGTGAGTCCTAAGGGCCGGCCAAATAGCTCAGTGGATTAAAGCACTTGCAAGCAGGCACAGGGGCTGGGGGTTCAATCCCAGGGCGTGCTGTGCCCTTCCTGCCCTGGGGGACTACTGAGATGGCAGTTGAGACTGGGCATGGTGGCACACACCTGTAATCCCAGCTCTTGGCAGGCTGTAAACATGTGGATCACTATGAGTCCAATCTAGTAGAGAGATTCTGAACACCCTGTAGATCCTTCCCTAAAATACACACACACACACACAACACACACACACACACACACACACACACACACGAGTCCTAAATGCAAGCGCATGGATTCTTATGTGACCTCAGAAGGCAGTGTTGGGGCTATGGAGGCAGAAACAGGTGGTACAGAATTGGAAGCTACATGAATGAAGTAATGGTTTTCCCTGGCCTAGAGCATTTAGAGGGAAGGTCCTGCCAACACATTGATTGTGACCTAGTGAAATGGATTTTGTACTTATGGCTGTCAGAGCTGGAGGATAAATTTCTGGTGTTTTAAGCATGAATTTGTGATAATTTGTCAAAGCTGCCATCGGAAACCAAGCAGGTATCGAGTCTGGCCATGTTGAAAGGTGTTAGGAGAACCATCTGATTCACTTCAGTCTCTACCTATGTTACAACTTGAGTAATTATGAAGGACTATAATGTGGGAATACTGTATAAAGGATAATCAAATCATAATGAAATCAAACTGATTAGAATAATACAAATCTTCATTTGGCTTTTGTTTACTGTACCATTTTTAGTATGCTTTTTAAAATAAAACATTTCATTGAATCCTGAACTGATGTTTTTCAGTTGTCAAGAATTGAGATGGGGGCTGGTGAGATGGCTCAGTGGTCTAAAGCACCTACTTAGAACAAGCTTAACAAAGCACAGGGACCGCGGTTCAATCCCCCAGCACCACATGCCAGCCAGCCCCGCCCCCTGGTGGGGTGAGCTGGCCACACACACATAAATAAAATAAATTAAAAAAAAAAAAAAAAAAAAAGAATTGAGATGGTTCACCTAAGTTTTATTTATGTCAAAATTGTACCTAATATATTATATATAGTAACCTTCAGATCATAGTAAAATCATTTTATTCAAGCTACTTTTCTAGGAAATTGTTCTGAATTTTTCCACTTTTTCTTTTCTATCCTTACTAGTACACCAGGAAAAAAAAAAAAAAAAACAACAAAAAACACCCAGGTTTGTTTTAGTAAATGATTTATCAAGTGACCAGATGTCAAATGGCTTTTTTTGGGGTCATATTTAGCTCCTGAAAGTAGATGATAAAGAGGACTTAATACTTCCAGAGTACTCTGGATCTTTGAGGTGGGGGTGGGGTGGGAATGATTATCTCAGATTTAGAGCAAGGCTTAATTGCTTTTTTTCAGAGATTCCTGTCTTTAATTATGAAGCAAGCAAACTGACATACATTTATTACACCGTGAAACCTTGCATCGCATCTAGTCTATCTTGTAGCAATTGCTTCTGAACAGATGTTACCTGAAACACCTTTGTGCAGTTGGTGGAATGCTAAAATTTGTCATGCTTTTATTATTGTTGTTTCGAATTAACTCTACTTTATGGCATAACTTTATTGCT